TCTCTCCAGATTTGGGGTTGGCAGTTTTCCCCTGAGACCTCAGTTCTTTCATAGATACAAGAAAAGCCCTTGATTTTCGGTTGCTTTCTTTTTTTTGTAGGAGAGGAGTGATGATTTGCAAGGTTTTTGCAGTCAGAGCCGAAACCAGCAGTCTAGTGAACTTTCAGATCTCTGTTACGTTTAGATATGTCTCTTAACAAACTTTTTTTTTTTTGTTTTAAAATTTTGGTTTTATCGTAGTATTATCTTATAGTCAGAACATGTAACCTGGAAACTTTCTCATTATTAGTATTTATGGAAATGAATTCTGAGCAAGAAACATGGTATATTCATAAGTGTTTGGGATCAAGAGTTATTTATAAGTCAATCTTGCTAATTTTTGAAACACATTCTGCAAATCTTTGTTCTTTTTTTATGTACTAGAGGAGTTAAAAATTGGAAGTGAAATTGTTTTTAGCAATCATGACAGAAATGTCTATCTTTTAAAAATCTTTTTTGCATTTGCCCAGTGGAACTTGCTCAGCTTTTGACTGTTAACATTTTTAATGTTCCCTAATCTTTGTTGTATYTCTTGTAGTTAGATTCTATTTTGATCATTTATACTTTAAGATGGAAATTAATCTGTTTTAAATGATATATTTCTCTATGAATTTTTTTGGTCCTTCTTATAACTTATGTCTCTTTTGTTTTCTGCATTAGAGAAAACAACACGTTCATTTTTTCATTATTTTGTAAGCTTTGTAGTCTCATTTTGACTCTATTGGTTACTCTTGAGTTTTCTAGTTAATTCTCTCTATATCTCTAGTTGGTCTATAGTATCAAATGTGAAACAATATCATTTAAATTCATTTCACTCATTTTTTTACTAGTACTCACTCAAATTTTTTTCATATAACCTTAAGATTGAAATTCTTATAATTTTATTATTGTATGCAGTACATAGCCTTTATTTCTAGAATAGTGCTTCTCAAATTCCTTTAGATTCTTTTTCTGTTTTTGCAACACTGGCTATGAACCTCAGGGTGCTCTATCTACCRCTTGCCCCAGTTTGTCAGTAAGAGTTGAGTAGATAATAGGAACAAACGACTCTCAGATCTCAGTGGGGTCTCACGGTGCCTCTGCTCCTGAGGATCCTCCCGCTAGACTCTGCTTCTGGCTAATGCATCACACCATCTGGAATGGCTGCCACCCTGGTAGAGGACCAGAGAGGGTCTAACCAGAGCCTGCCTGAACTCTGCTGCCAGAGACACCGTCACTGGAGCAGGGCAGAGGGGTGAATCTTTCTTTTCCTGGGAGGAAAGTACATCGTGAAATGGGTGAGCCGCAGAAAGGGGCGTGAATGGATTTGCACAAACACATTTTCAGACATTTCAAAGAAAACAAGGTGGAGATTGCAGGTGGTCCTGGCACAGCTAAATATCGATTTTGTCTTCCTATATGAATAACGGATCAGGGTGTAACATTTTTTGTCATTTCCTTCTACATCTAGGTCTATAGAATTTCATAACTGTTTTTGACATTTAAGGTTTCRAAATTACTTTTAATTTCTCCCTTTAGGGCATTCTCCCTTTGTTCAGGGAAACTCCCTCCCCAACCCATTTAAAGACATTCTAGTTAACTTTTTTAAAAAAGTCAACTATCATTTCAAATTTCCAGGCCCTCCRTCTTACGTTCTGGATATTTGTTTCCTGCATGGCTCTGTGGGCACAAGGTCTTCTCTTGTCTGTGTGACAGTTCTGGTTTTTAGAATTTTGTTTTCCTTTGCTCATCTTGGTTCTAGTCCTTCATGTGGGTTTCCACCAACACCAATGGTCTGTTGCTCGTTCATACTTCAGGATGGGGGACCGAAAAGCCAACTCCAGCTGTCACCTCTCCAGGAGTCCACAGGACACTCTGACCCTTTTCTGACCAGAGAGGAGCATCCTCCACCCACATAGCAATTGGGGCTCTGGTGACACTTTTTCTCTTTCAGACTTTAATTTCTTGTCTCATTTCCCTCTTTGTCATTGTGATTTTAATTCTTTGACTGTCATCTTAGGGGACACTTTAGCAAAGAGGAGAAAAACAATTGTGTTCAATCAACCATCTTTAACCAGAGTCTTCTTTTTTCAACAGAAAAATAGGATACTATTCTATCCTAGTCATGTTTGAAGTACCTTATTATGGTGGAATTAAAAAAAAAAAAGACTGTACAAGCCTTTATATCAATTAGAAATACAGGGAACTCTGTTAAGAAATTGCATGTGGGCTGGGCTGTGGCTCAGTGGTAGAGCACTTGCCTGGCATGTGTGAGGCAGTGGGTTCGATCCTTAGCACCACATGAAATAAAGGTCCATCAACAACTAAAAAAAAAAAAAAAAAAAAAAAAAAAA